GGGGGGGGGGGGAAGAGTGGCTGTTAGCCCCGGGACAAAGTTACGCGCGGCAGCCCGGTCAGACATTCTGATGAGGTCCCGTGGTTAGGCGTTAGGTGGCGATCAGACCGCTGGGCAGCAGTGCGGCAAAGAAGCAGCACGGCGTGTTCACACCGGCAATCGTGCCGCTTCTGTGGCCAGCGCTGATTCCTCTTTGTGCGCATGCGCCATTGGGTGCTTGTGTGCATCCTGTGGAGACTTGGGAGAAAAAAACCCTGTTTGCGACGGGACATGGGCGGGCGCCAGATGCCATGGACTACCACCGGAAACGCGATCAGACGCCAGCCCTTGCCCCGCGGTTTCCGGAAACTAGTACCTCGGAGGTACTAGTTTTTAACTCAGTATCTTTGGTGGGAAGCCTCGGGTTCGCCATGGGAGCTCTACGCTTCCCAGATGTTGCGGTGTGATCGCGCCCGGAAAATCCGCCTATCATCCATCTCTGTAGCGTGGCTAATGCTCGGTGTTACCGCAGCCAAAGTGTACCATCCTCTCCTTGTGGTCCTTTCCGTATTTGCCAGCCACTCCGGATTTTCTCAGTGTTCAAGTTGAGGCAATTTAAGTCCACAGCAAAACAGCTTCTAAATAACGTGGGGCAACAGCAGGCTGGAACCTGGCTGACCACTGAAGGGAGGTAATGTAACAGAGAACAGGGGGGAAAACAGAATGAAAAGAAGGTTGAACTCAATTTTAGTGCAGAATTGCTTGGAGGACACCGTGGTGAACATGGATTAAAAGGAGAGTGCAGAAAGGGCCCTTGATAGGCCAATGATCTGTAGAAGGCAGCTTCATGCATTCATGATCTTTCCCTTGCAGAGTAGCCTGAATTGGGCTTCAGTTGGAAGCTTATGCCCCCTGCATGACCATAGGTGCGTGATGGAAGGGACCTTACACTGGTGAGGGTGTACATCTGGTATATTCTGCACTGAAGACACTCATGCATGGCAAACCTAGGGCAAGAGAGGCACAAACACATTTTTGTGGGGTAGCTTTTACCCAAATAGGCCTCCAAATAGTGGGTTGATGGCTGCTCTGCTAACAATGGTGCTTTTCTCGGATGCAAGAAGCTTTCCCCTGGTGCAAGAAGCACAACTTTTGGCAGAGTGGAACCACAGGATTTTAGTGCAAGCATTGCAAAGTCATTGCTTAGTTGATCAGGGAGAGAATCCAAATATTTTCCCCCACAGTAGTGGAATTGTTATGTAGCCATTGTGTAGGGTTGCCAGCCTCCAGGTGGGGCCTGGGGATCTCCCGCTTTTACAACTGATCCCCGGCTAACAGAGATCAGCTCCCCTGGAGAAAATGGCTGCTTTGGAGGGTGGACTCTATGGCATTGTATCATGCTGAGGCCCCTCCCCTCCCCAAACCACCCTCTCCTGGATCCACCCCCAAAGTCTCCAGGTATTTTCCAACCCAGACCTGGCAACCCTACCATTGTAGTAGATCTGTTATGTGTTCCCTGCAGTTAACACTTTTGTTGTGAGCATGCCACATTTTCCCAGCACTCAAATCACACCCTAAGTGTGAGAGCCAGTGTGGTGTAATGGTTAAGTGTGGCAGACTCTAATATGGAGAACTGGGTTTGATTCCCCACTCCTCCGCATGAGGCCTGCTGGGTGACCTTCAGCCAGTCACAGTTCCCTCAGAACTCTCTCAGCCCCACCTGCCTCACAAGACTCTGAGACTCTTTTGAGTAGTGAAGAGTAGGGTATAAAATCTTCTTCTTCTTCTTCTTCTTCTTCTTCTTCTTCTTCTTCTTCTTCTTCTTCTTCTTCTTCTTCTTCTTCGTCCAGGAACTGGTTTTAATATATATGATTTTCACTCTCACTTATTGAAAATGCCTGGTTTTATATAAACAGTGATTGATCTATGTGAGAAATATGCTTTATGCACTGGATATGTAATCATTCTTGCATGTTTCTCCAACAGGTTATGCATAACAAGTTGATACAGGGTCCAGGAACGGGTTTTAATATATACGATTTTCAGTCTCATTTATTGAAAATGCCTGGTTCCATATAAATAGTGATTGATCTATGTGAGAAATACGCTTTATGCACTGGATATGTAATCATTCTTGCATGTTTCTCCAACAGGTTATGCATAACAAGTTGATAGGGAGTGTGTTGATTGGCTCCTTTAAAGTAGATTTGGGGACAGTTTACCTCCAACCAGGTAAGAGACATGTTTTCAAACTAACCCTGCCTTGTTGAACAACTTTTTTTGCATCAGCTGTGTCTCATGGCTTATTCACAGGTTCTTTGGGCGCATGGCCTGTCATCTTTAAAATTCTGGGTGGCAAATTATCCATGGTGAGCAGGCTGCGAGATCATAGCATCAGGGACCCATTCCAGATCATCATCTTTGCAGCATGAGAAATGTTAAAGAATTCTGATTTCGAGTTCCCTTTTTCAGTGAAGGCTGATCATTTGAAGAAGCATACCTGGACAATGAGCCATGCTAATAGATTTCTCTTCCTTCTTCTGCTACCCATAGCTCCATGAAGAGTCGGACAGTGAAGGCTGATCAAACAACAACAACAACCTGGACAATGAGCCATGCTAATAGATTTCTCTTCCTTCTTCTGCTACCCATAGCTCCATCCCACCATGTATGGTAGCAGGGCCTTGGAGCTGGGTTACATCAACAGTCCAGGGCAGAAGAACCAATCACCCATCCTTCAGAAAATCAGCTGCCCATTACAAAAAAGCGTGTCATTACAAAAACCCAATAGAGCTGGAACTAGATGTTGCAATATATGCTCTTCTGCTGATGAAAATAGAAGCCATGTGTCTAGTTTTTGCCTCCTGCATAATATTTAGTAGATGTCCTGACATTTTGACAATGTGTGTGTGACGACCTCTTATCTGGGTCTGGTTTGCCTTTAAAAGTTCTTATGTTTTTACTCTATAGGGTATTTTCGCCGCCACCAGGGAAATTTAAGACTTTCCCAGCCTCTTACTATAATATATTTCTTCTTCTGGTTTGGTAATGTGGCCAGGGTCTAGGCATTCATGAAGGACTATGTGTTATTTCCTGAGGAATTTCGTTCAGAACTGTTATCTTAAATAAAAGTAGATTTATTTGCTGTTTCACACACTTTTCTCTTCACTGACAGGGCTCTGGGCATGTCACTATGTAACAATAGTTTCCTTTAGCCATATATGGTCACTGTTTCTTTATGCTTTAACTTTTCTTAACACACACCAGACTTCTCTCTTATGTTTCACACAGGAACCGTCTCACACAGAGACCTCAGGACAAAACTAATATATTAACTGCTTTTGTACAGCACTCTCTGCTGTCTGACTAACTGTTTTACTCCGAACTAAGCAACCCACACAGGGAAGCCTCTTCTTATCTGTTTAACTGTACTGCAGGAGAAGAGGGAGGGTAATTTGCTTCCTCCCTGCCTCTCCCCACACCTGCCTGTCTGGGGCCAGGGAGGGCCTTCGCGGGGCTTCCTCGCACTCCCACTGGCCTTGCAGGTCCACCGCCGGGCCCCTCATGGGGCTCGGCAGTGGAGCTGCAAGGCCGGTGCCCGGGACCGTTAGGGGTGGGGTGTGTGGCCTTATGACACACTTCTGGTGATGTCAGGGGGTGTGGCCTCATGACACACGTTCGGTGATGTCAGGGGGTGTGGCATATGCTAATGAGTTATGCTAATGAGTTCCCCTAGCTCTTTTTCTATGAAATGACCCCTGCCCCAGGGTATTCAAACTATAAACTTTTCCCAATGATGGTACTATAGCATTTGAACTTGTGAATCTGACTATGATTTGTTGCATGGCTAGCTTGGTTGAAGAAGGAAAGCCGCATTCTTTATTACCTTCTAGAACGTTCCCAATTTTGTTCTCATGACAGCTACTTGCTGGTAGCTCGTGGTCTGCAGATGTGCTCTTCCCTTGAGCTGCGATTTCAAAAACCCTCCTGTGTACTGTTGTTCTTTGTGTATTTTTCCAGGTCATCAGTTTTGTGACAAGTGGGCCCTTCTCACAGACCCTGCTGATATTCGGACAGGAGCTAAGGGATATCTGAAGTGTGATATCAGCGTTGCAGGAAAAGGAGACACAATACAAGCTGCCCAGAAAGCAAGCGATGCGGAAGAGCAGATTGAGAAGTACTGTCATAACTTTATTAGTTTCTGTCTGCCTAGTGTGCTTGTTCTATAGACAGATGCCTCTGCAAAGCAAGGGCATACAGCATGGTTTGGGCTGATATCACTAGAGTGGTATCCTATCTTTTTCTTGACAAAGAAAGCAAATTCACCCTGGTGCTTTAGGCCTGCCTCCAGGGCACACTTAAAATGGTTTCACCAGGGTAATCTGGGAAGTGTAGTGCTCTGAGGTAATTCAGGGATCCCTAAGAAGAAATTGTCAGTATTCATGGCAAACTACAATCCCTGGGATGTTATAAGGGAGCTATGGGTTGGTTCCTGCGCAATTGCTCCACTGATGGAAATAATGTCTGCTGGAGCAGGATTTCTTTACCTCTTCCCTGCCACTGAGGTTGGAAAAAAAATGCTCTACAGTGCTTCTCTGCAGGAAATGGGACCCCCAAGAACAGTATAAGAGTGGAGCTGGAAGGTTGCCATATAGGATTGCCAGGCATGGGAACTTACAGAGGGGGAGTGTGATCATCGCTCTTGATGCGAGGACACCACTTCTTGAGCGACCTGGAAGTGATGTTATCATGCTGGGGAGCGATGCTCTACCACTTTATTAGAGTTTTTGGCGAGTGCTAGAATGCCACCTTGGACCTGACCATGTCACTTCAGAGTTATGCCAGAAGTTGTGTCATCGTGCCGGGAATGACAATTGTGCCACCCCCATTTCATCAGCCAGTTTCCTCCTCCCACCCAGCTGAATGGTGGTGGGCAGTGGGGGTGGGAAGGCGGGAAATCTCCCGCAATATGCAAGAATATGGTAAGCCTACTGCCACCACTGTGGAGGAATCACAAACGACTGTTGGTGTCGGAGGAGGTTTTCCACTGAATCTAACCCCACAACAGTTAAGTTGGTGTAAAACCAAGTTCGGAGTGCAGAGATGCCATGAACATCTCAGTTTATATTCCTTTCTAAAATATTATGATGACATATTGGAGCCAAACTGCACGATCAATGTCTTCATATGAGCTTTCTTTTGCTGGGCAACATAATCTCAGACGAGCCATCCAACGTCTGAATCTTCCTCCGTGTATGAAATTCCCTGCAGTTAAAATAGGTATCTAGGAAAGAGTTCTAGCCTCTCCATCTCCTTGACATGCTAGTTTTTCCTTGACAGGCAGCTTTTGTATATGGCAGAATGTTTGAAGATTCAAAGCACAATCCTGTGCAAATATACTCCGATCTAAGTCTGCTCAGGGATTGCACTGTCAGTCAAACCAGCAAGTCCCGCTTCACAGAAAAGCCAGACGTATTTGGCTTTATTAACCCCCAAATTATAGGCCCCGGTCACACGGGCGGGAAAACGGGGGGGGGGGAGGCGTGGCCAATTGCTCCGGTGCAATTAGAGCCACCAGAACGCGATCTGACGCGTCGGCGGCAAACCACGGGTCCTGTCCTCCCCCCCTGCACATTAACGAGGGGCCGGCGCGATTACACTGCAGGAGTCCGGAGGCAGCCCGTGGCAAACCGTTTGCCACTACATACGAGGTACTGTTTTTTTATTGCACTTTTTCGGCGGTATGCCACAGGTTGGCCACGGGTGCGCTCCACTTGCCAGATGTTGCTGTGTGATCGCATCCCGATAATCCGCCCACCACCTGTGGCTCTCCCGCGGCAAATTTGCCGTGTGACCGGGACCATAGTAGACAAAATATTTGGGGCAAATTTGCACAGCTGCCCGGTTCATTGTTCTATGCTTTCTGTTTGTGGCTGATGGGGTTAATCACAAGTAGGAGCTTCTAGTTTTGCCTGAGCTTCTTTTACTCAATCCATGGAGGCAGCATTCTGAGTGGGAGTATCAGACCATCTGGAAAGATCTCCGGAACAGAGCACTGGTGTACATGAAGTTCACAGTTTTAATAACTAGAAACATAGCAGCATTGCATAGTAGTTTGAGTGTCAGAATAGGAGATCCAGGTTCAAAGAACAGTAATAATAAGAGATTGGATTTATACCCCGCCCTTCACTACCCAAGGGAGTCACAGAGCGGTTTACAATCTCCTCTCCCTTCCCCTCCCTACAGCAGACACCGTGTGAGGTAGGTGGGGCTGAGAGAGCCCTTTCAAGAACTGTTCGTGAGAGAACAGCTCTGAAAGAACATGTAACTGACCCAAGGTCACACCAGCAGCTGCATGTGGAGGAGTGGGGAATCAAACCCGGTTCTCCCAGATTAGATTCCGTGTTCCTAACCACTGCACCAAACTGGCTTTCAATACTGACTCCTGCCATAGATTGCTTGCTGGGTGACATTGGGACAGTCACATATTGTCAGCCTAATCTACCTCACAGGGTTGTTGTGAGGGTAAAATGGAGGAGAGGACAACAGTGTGAGCCGCTTTGTGTCCCCATTGGGGAGAAAGGCGGGGTGTAAATAAAGTCAATAATAAATAAATAACCCGCTCCCGTTCTCCACGTAGTCTGAGCGCACATTCTTTGTCGATAGCAACAAGGTTCCGAACTCGTTGCACTGAGTTTTCTTTACAGAATGTCGCTTTTCTCTCTAGGAACCTCTTGATTCCCAAAGGATTTCCATCAGAAAGGCCTTGGGCCCGGTTTTATGTGCGAATCTACAAAGCTGAAGGGCTCCCCAAGATGAACTCTAGCATCATGGCTAACGTCACCAAAGCGTTCATGGGAGACAGCAAAGACCTCGTGGATCCATTTGTGGTGGTCACGTTTGCAGGCCAAATGGTAAAGAATGTCTGAACTGTAGGCCTATCCTTGCAGCAGATCTCCTGCAGCGCTCGTTCTTCGTCCTATCCCCTCCAACCAGAAATCCTCCAGCATTCAGACCACTGTCTTGAATTTGAATTTGAATTATATTAGTTAGTAATAAGATCTGTTTTGGTGAAAATGAATGGTGTGTTGTGCCCAGCTGCTACACATACGTATGTAAGTATCAAGTCACAAATGACTTATGGCAACCTCAAGAAGGGGCTTTTAAGGCACGTAGGAAGCAGAGATATGGCCCCTGCCACACGGGGTGGGGGAAGCAAAGAGACACGCGGCGGCAGGATCACATAGATCCCCTGAGCCGCCGCACACTTCCTCCCCGGCACGATCAGATGCCGGGGTGAAGCCACTGAAGGGAGAGCGAGGCAGCCAAACTGCGCATGTGTGCGCATGCACAGATCGGCCGGGAGCCTCGATTGCTCCGGAAGACGGGCGCGCCGGCGATCTCACGGCCGCACTTGCTGTGCCGTCTTTTTTACTGCGGGTTTTCGGCCTGAAGGGCCGGATCGGGGACAGGTGTGCGCCGCTTCCCAGATGGTGCGGTGAGATCGCGCCCGTTTGCTGCGCCCCCGATCCGTCCCTCTCCCGGGCCAAAACCGTCTGTGTGACCGGGGCCATAGTTTGTCATTGCCTTCCTCTGCAGAGCCCTCCATGGTGGTCTCCCATCCAAGTATTGACCTGATCTGATGATTGGCCTACACCAGCTATGCTTACGTAATATAAAAGCAATAAGGTAGATAAAAAACCCCAAGGGAGTTAACTGTTTAAAGGAATTCTTAGTCTGGGTTCCAAAGTTCAGGATATGTTTTGAACCCATCTACTTTACAAACATCGGTTGGTCTGATTCTGCTAATTTCCCTCCAAAGAATCCCAGGAAACTGCAGTTATGCGCAGGTTCTGAGAAGTCTTTGTTAGATGTGACAAAAGTCCTCTCTCTGAACTGCAGTTGCCAGGATTCCCTAGGAGGAGGAAATAGTGGTTTAATCAGTTAATTTTGTTTTAGAGTCTATATGCTCTGTAGGATGAAAGTCGGTGTGGTATAGCACAATCTCATAAAGTGATACAGGGTTCATATAAACAGTACCTGAAATAAACCAATTAGAGGATGAGATGAGTCATGATTTTGAAGGTTCACTTCTAATACTGAAGGCTGCCTGACACATATAGATTCAAATGAGCATCTGCAGCTGCCTCAATGTAGACAAAGACCAACAGTCCACCTAGTTTTAGTACTGTCTTCTCTAGCTGGAAAGCAGCGCTCTAGAGTCTCGGGCAGAGGAAAGCCTTTTCCAACATCTGCCAAGATCTTTCAATCAGACACACCAGGGACTGGACCCGGACCTTCTGAATGCAGATACTCTCCCACTTACATACTTCAAGAAACCACAGTCTTTTTCCTCTTTGGGATGCATGTGTTTGTTTGACATGTGTATTTGTTCCATGTATACAGTATGTTCTTAGGGCACACTTAAAAAACTTGACATGCAATGCAGCCCGGGCATGTTCTTGATGTTCATCAGCAGCATGCCAGCATTGGGGGGGCGGGGTGGGGATTTTGGGCCGCATCAGGAGAGCGCTGAGAAACATGCACTCTCCAGGCAGAAATACTTCAATCAGTGGTAATTTTTCATGGAATCATGCCCAAGATGATCAGTGAGATTCACATGGATCAGTAGGGATCTGAAGCCGGATCTCTCTGGGCCAGTCTCTTCTGCTATAACTTTTGCCCCCGACCTTTTCTTCTGTGACAACAGAGGACAATTGATATTAAACACCCCTGAACTTCCTTGAGGCCACAGACTGCCATCTCTCTTCTAGCCTTCCTTATGTTCCGTATTCAACATTTGCTATCTCTCTGGGGTTGTTCTTTTTAAAAAAATGATTGTTCTGTGTTTGTATTCTTCTGAATTCTCTCCACTGCACCCTTCATATATACAGCAAGCACAACTGAACACAACTTTATTTCTGTAGGGAGGAAAAAGATAAAATGTCCCCATATTAATTTGTGTGGGAAACTTTCAGTGCCATCTTGTGGGAAATGTGGTCATTAGCTAAATAAGTGACGTAATAGAGCTACACTTATGAGAAACCAAGGCCAGGAGGCAATTTTAGTTTTAATGAAGCTGCTTGCTCTTTGCTTCGTCGGTTAACTGAAAAGTACAGACATTTTAAAGTGTCACTAAGTATATTACCTTAGGTAATTGTGTTTCAAAATGGACTTCTATTCAGAAAACATTTTTGTTATACACAGGGCTCTTTATGTAGAAAAAGCCCAGCAGGAACTCATTAGCATAATAGGCCACACCCAACAGCAGAAATCCATTAGCATATTAGGCCACACCCCTGACAGCACAGCTCATTAGCACATTAGGCCGCACCCCCATGTTACCAGAAGTGTGGTCATCCAGCCACACCCACCTTTTGCTTCTTATTCTGTTTACCTTGTTTGATGTCAAAACCCAGGGCTTTTTTTGTAGCAGGAACTCCTTTGCATGTTAGGCCACACACCCCTAATGTAGCCAATCCTAATGAGTTTCTGCTGTTGGGTGTGGCCTATTATGCTAATGAGTTCCTGCTGGGCGTGGCCAACTCGGGAGCCAGCCGGAACTCCGTTCCTGTGCGTTCCTGCCCAAAAATAGCCCTGGTTATACAGAGTGGGCTGGAAGAAGACAATCCATCCTCAGTTTTCCTCCCAGAGGGCTCAATTTCAAGTTCTGTGCATACCAAGGTGCTGACCCACAGGGTAGCCCTTCAGCTGAACCATGGGTAACACGGGAGGTTACAAACCATCACCTCCTGGGCCTGCAGCACAACTAACACCACCTGGGTCCAAGCCAAGTCCCTGAATTATTGCCATAGGGGCCTGGCTCAAATCTAACTGGAACCGCACAGGAGATAGCAATGAGTGGGCCTTGCTTTGGGCGAAAAGATTCCTTTGGGCCAGCCCTGTGCCTGTGATCAGTACCCTGTGCTAAGGGTTTGATGATTTGGGAGCCCTTGATCTCAAATGACAAGCCATGCTGCATCACCATGATGTCCATTCCTTCATGTGAAACAAGTTGCACTTGAGAAAATGCATTGTTAAGGTAAAGATGGATTTTCAGTGCAGTCCTAAAGCAGAGTTGCACCCCTCTAAGTCAACTGAAATAAATTAGCTTGGACAGATACACCTCTGGTTAGGATTGCACTGTTAGTGCTGAAGGTGAAGTCACAGCAGATTCACTGATCTAAAAACCCAGGTTTGGCCAGTCTTCACATTTGGCTAACAGGCATACATTCTAGCAGGTCTATGCATGAACACATGAATCTGCCTTATATTGAATCATACCATTGGACTGTCAAGGTCAGTATTGTCCATAGACCAGCCAGCAGCTCTCCAGGGTCTCAGGTGGAGCCGTCTTTCACGTCACCCAGAACCTGATCCTTTTAATTAGAGTTGCTGGGGATTGAACCTGGGACCTTCTGCATGCCAAGCAGATGCTCTGTAATGGAGCCTCTACCCATGGTTTAGCCAGTCTTTCCCACTGCTGTAGGCAGTCATACTGTGTGTGTTAAGTGCCATCAAGTCACTTCCAAGTTATGGAGACTCAGTGACTTAATGACTTCCAAAACATTAACAGCCTTGTTCAGGTCCTGCAAATGGCAGTCAGCCAGTGTTCCCTCTAGGCTGAGTTAGTGTGAGCTAGCTCGCAGATTTTTAGCCTCTGGCTCACACATTCTTGTCTTAGCTCAGGAAGGAGGGCTCCAGAGCAAACTAGTTTCTGCAGTTGCCAAATCGCTCGCTCACAACTTTAATGCTGGTAGCTCACCAAGTAGGATTTTTGCTCACAAGACTCCACAGCTTAGAGGGAACATTGAATCAGACTACCTTTTAATTTTGAAATATATTTTAAAATACTTTAGCATACATACTTTATTTACAAAATCCATCAAATTGCAATTATAGTCAACCATATGCAGAAGCAACAAAACACCGAAACATTGCAGCACTAAACTGTGGTGGCTTCGCTTCATCCCAAAATATGTCATGTCGGTACATTGCAAATGAAGACTGGCTTTCAGCGAAGTTTATTTATCAATGTCCTATTCTGTTTATATTACAGTAGGTCAATTTAGTAATTCTAGCAGTTGTCTGTATGTCTGGAATCCTTTCTGCCTCCTTTCTGAAACTGGAGGAATATCTGATTTCCTCCAGTATGCGGCCAAAGAAATTTTTGGCAGCTGTAATGAGGTTGATAATTAAATCTAAATCAATTTCCTCAAGAAAAGTAAACAGAAGTCTTGTGGCACTTTAAAGTTTTTTTTTTAGCACAGCCTTTCATGGATCAGAGCCCACTTTGTCATATGAATGTGGCGGGTCCTCGTTATACAGATATTTATGTATGTGATTATGAAGAGGATTTTTTAAAAAAAGGCAGGGCCATGAAAAGCAAACATGAGTGACCTTAATTTTCCAATCCACGGCTGCTCTCGGCAAGGTGACCTTGCTTTCTACGCATGCGCATTAGCATTAAGTCTCGAGTTACCAGGATGCAGCTAGCAACCCCCAGGAGAAATCTGGGGCTGCGGCCTGGTACCCTGGCATCACGCCAGCACACTGACATCACTTCCGGTGCAAACCAGAAGTGATGTCTTTAGACACTCCAGCATATACTAAACCAATATGGTTTCACCATAGAGTTTGTAAATGCTAGAGCATCCACTCTATCACTTCCAGTTTTTACTGTAAGTGACATCAGTGCCCCAGTGCTATGCTGGCATGTGCTCCAGCACCCCAGTTTCCTCCCATGGGTGCCTGAGATATCAGTGGACAAAGAGCAGGGATACCAGGAGGTCTCTCGCTACAGGCCTAATTAAGTCTTTCTAAAAAGCTCTAAAAAGGATGGTCCTGTTGGAGCTTGTATGACCCAGCAGGTGGGACTCTGTTATTCTCCTGAGAGTCCTGACCTCATGGTTTGAAGACTAGTTCAGTAGGGAATGATACACAAGGAACAACTGTTTAGTTCACACAGCATCTCTCTTGCAAGTGGAGCCAGGTGGCAGGATGAGGGCAACTGTCTCAAATTCTTTCTGGTCTTTCGTTTCAGGGACGGACAACAGTGCAGAAGAACTGTGCTGACCCTGTGTGGCATGAGCAGGTTATCTTTAAGGAGATGTTCCCACCACTGTGCCGAAGGGTCAAAATCCAGGTGTGGGATGAAGGGAGCATGAACGATGTGGCCTTAGCCACTCACTTCATAGACCTGAAGAAAATCTCAAATGAACAGGATGGTGATAAAGGTACAGAGCAGTGCATGTGTTGGTTTAACAAAGCTTGAACTATCAACAGTTTTTATAGCCAATTTGGTGTGGTGGTTAAGAGTGGCAGACTCTAATCTGGGAGAACTGGGTTTGATTCCCCACTCCTCCACATGCGGCCAGCTGGGTGACCTTCAGTCAGTCACACGTTCTTTCAGAGCTGTTCTCTCAGAGCTGTCTCAGCCCCACTTACCTCACAGGATGTCTGTTGTGGGGAGAGGAAGAGAAGGAGATTGTAAGCCACTCTAAGACTCTAAGTGAAGGGCGAGTATAAATCACTCTTATACTGTAAGGGTGAGGTTTCTGAACCCATGGATAGTTCCTCCAAGTTAGGAGATTCCTGGAGATTTGGGGATACAGCATGGGGAGGAAAGGGACCTCCGCAGGGTATAATGCCCTAGAATCCACCCTTGAAAGCAGCCATTTTCTCCAGGGGAACTAACTCAGTAATCTGGAGATGAGCTGGAATTCTGGGAGATCTCCAGGCCTCTCATGGAGGATGGCAAAAACTATCAAACATCAAACACGGTCTACTTCTAGATGGTGCGAAAAGGCCTAATCAAACTGTGAATGTTTTTAAAGATAGATAGTGCTCATTCTGGAACAAAAATTGTAATTGTGAGTTTGACAAATGAACATGATTCAACTTATGTATGTGCGCTATGATTTACAAATGTACTGTTTGATCTTCAATAAAGTTTATAAAATCTAAAAAAAAAAAAAATGGAGGATGGCAAACCTACTTGGAGGCCTGTTGAAGCCCAATCATGAGAACCTTTTGGAAGGACTGGGAATTTGTTAAAGAAGTACCAAAAGTCCCTGCTGCAGCCTTCACAATTACTCCATATGGCAAGCAATGTTGTCCTGTAAGCTTCAATTTAAGCCTGCTTGTCTAAATGCAGGGCTATTTTTGGGCAGGAACGGAGTTCCGGCTGGCTCCCGAGTTGGCCATGCCCAGCAGGAACTCATTAGCATAATAGGCCACACCCAACAGCAGAAACTCATTAGGATTAGCTACATTAGAGGTGTGTGGCCTAACATGCAAAGGGTTCCTGCTACAAAAAAAGCCCTGGGTTTTGACAACAAGCAAGGTAAACAGAATAAGAAGCAAAAGGTGGGTGTGGCTGGATGACCACACTTCTGGTAACATGGGGGTGTGCCTAATATATTAATATGCTGTGTTGTCAGGGGTGTGGCCTAATAGGATAATGAGTTCCTGCTGTTGGGTGTGGCCTATTATGCTAATGAGTTCCTGCTGGGCTTTTTCTACAAAAAGAGCCCAGTCTAAATGTCTATTGACTTTAGGCATGCCAGCCTGCCAGTTTTAAGTGGCAAGCTGTTCTGCTTACTTTCAAGTAAATTGGCTTGCAAGTAGGCAAATCCTTCCTGTACTGGGCACATTCATTTCTCTTGTCTCTTGTGGTTCAGTGGTGGAGACTCTTTTGCCATGCAGAAGGTCCGAGGTTCAGTCCCTGGCATCTCCAGTTAAAAGATCTTGCAGTGGGTGATGTGAAAGACCTCTGCTTGAGAACCTGGAGAGTCACTGCGAGTCCGAGGAGGCAATACTGTCTGTGGTGGACCAAGGTTCTGATTCAGTATAAGACAGCTTCATGTGGTGTTTTTCCCCCAGGGTTCTTGCCTACCTTTGGGCCTGCTTGGATCAATCTCTATGGCTCTCCCAGAAACCACAGCCTGATGGACGATCACCAGGAGCTCAATGAAGGTTACGGGGAAGGTGTCTCTTTTAGGGGACGGCTCCTAATTGAGCTCGCTGTAGAGATCCTCTCCGGTGGAGCCCACGAGTCGAAGTTATCAAAGATCATCAAGGAGTTAAAGCCATCTTCCAAGGAGAAGGATGCAAAAGGCTCTAAAGGGTCAGGGAAAGATAAAGACAAAGGAGCAGAAGATGGAAAATCATCCGCTGCAGATAAAACAAACTCAACTGATGTGGAAGTGGAGCCATTTGATGTGCCACCTGAGGTAAATATTAAAATTCTTGATGCCAAATGTGGAACTAATTTCCAGAATAAGGTCCTGTGTTTAGAGAATGCCAGGTTTAGATGCCGTAACTTCTCCCCCAAGGAACTCTGGGAATCCTAGTTCTGTCATGGAGGCTTGATCATACCCACTATAAACATTCTTAAACATTGGAATCTCTGCCACTCCAGGTGGTGGCTAGAGATCTCCTGGGATTACAACTGATCTCCAGGCATCAGAGATCACCTGGAGAAAATGGCAACTTGGGAAGGTGGACTTTATGGCATTATACCCAACAGAAGTCCTTCCTCTCCCCAAACCCCATCCTCCTCAGGCTCCACCCCCCCAAATCTCCAGGTATTTCCCAACCTGGAGCTGGCAGGCCTATATGCCACTGGCACTATTTTAGTGACTTCAATGTGTCCCCGGTCACATGGGAAGATTAGATCCGCAAGAGGGACGGATCAGGGGCGCATCAAGCGGGCGCGATCACACCGCGACATCTGGGAAGCGGCGCGCACCCGTCCCTGATCCGTCTCTCTTCCGGCTGAAGATGTGGAGTTAAAATAAACCTGCTAAGCACTACTACCTACTGGAAAATCCGCTGCATGGGCGGCCGTGTGATCGCTGACGCGCCCGTCTCCCGCAGCATGTGAGGTCCTCTGCTGAGCTGCGCAGGCGCACACATGCGCATCAGCCTCGCCTTGCTCTCCTGTCCGTGGCTTCCCCCTTGCATCTTTTTTTTCCTTTGGCCCCCAAAGGGGATTTTTTTATTACATTTTTCTAAAGACTACAAATCTACAACGAAAATAAGGAAAGGGAACTACAATTAGGGATAAGGAAAAGAATACCCACTACTATCTAAAATCCCAAGAGAGGAGATCCTCAGAATCGCTTAAGTACAAAGTCAGTTCTAAACTCGCTAACAATTTTTTGAACTTAGTCAGGTCTGCTAATACAACTTTTGAATCTTAAATTATCTGTTAAAAAGAAAAACCCCAAAGCATCTCATTACAATCAACCCTTTTCAAAGACACAATACAGAGTCCTTCAGCCTTCATTTCTTCTTATCCTGTCTTCTTCGCAGTTTATAAGGACTTTTAGGATCCGCTGCCCCCTTCTCTGTCAGAGAGTCCTCTCCAGAAGACCCCGAGTCCAGCTCGCCACTGGACTTACTGTCCTCTTCATCACCTTTCTCTTGCTCGCCCATCTGGATTTTCAAAAAGTCCCATGCTTTGGAAACAGAGTCAATCTTTTCCTTTTTATCTTGAAGTTTGAAGGTTATGCCCTCTGGATACAACCACCGGTAGCTGATTGCATTTGTTTGAAGAAAAAGGATTAAATCTTTGTATTTCCTTCTCCTTTGTCTTATTTCAAATGGGATGTCTTTAAGGGTCCTGATGGTGCTGTTCCCGATTTTCAAGGTTGTCCGCTTCCCCCTCCCATCTGATTGGGCTGGGGAGCATATGCGCGGTGGCTCGGGGGATCTGTCTGATCCCGCTGCAGCGCTTCTCTTTTGGTGTGGCTCTAAATCCACTTCAGCCGTGCCTTTCCCCCTAGTGTGACCGGGGCCTGTGTGAACCATTCATGTCCTGTGTTATTTGTTCACAATTTTCGACTTAGGAGTGGTTTTGTGAAAAAGACTTGTTCATACGGGTTGGACCCAAGAGTTTGGTTTCTGTTAACAGGAGCCACTTGTGTCAGTAGAATGTAACTCTACTACCTCCTCCTTGCACTATAGTCTACTGACCTCCCCCAAAATGATACGTTGTCCCTCAGAAACAGCCTTTTGTGGGCTTCAGTGGGATGGGGGAGGCAGAAACATTTAGTCTGGAGACAATGTTTTTTTTGTTCATCTCTTTAGCCGCATTCATTCCACAAGGTCATGTATACCAAGTCAGACTGTTGGTCCATCTAGTTCAGGGTTCTCCTGCACTGCAGTCCTGATCTAAACTGGGACATCCTGTGTCTCCTTTTAAAATAAAAACAAGTGTTGGGAGCAATGTTCCCTCTAAGCTGTGGAGTCTTGTGAGCAAAAATTTTACTTTGTGAGCGACTGGCATTAAAGTTGTGAGTGAGCGATTCAGCTACTGCATAAATCAGTTGGCTCTGGAGCCACCCTTCCTGAGCTAAGACAAAAATGTGTGAGCTGGAGGCGAAAAAATTGTGAGCTAGCTCACACTAACTCAGCTTAGAGGGAACACTGGTTGGGAGTTCACCGACAGAACTCCTGGGATGTTTGGCCATTGAGCTGCCACACTGCTAAAGGCTTTGCTCAGGAAACCATAGAACTGCCGCCAGTCAGAGTAGACATTGCTGGGCCAGGTGGGCAAATGGTCTGATGCAGGATAAGATATGGGAGATCTCCAGGTCTCGTCTGGAGATGATATGAAAACCATCTTCAAGTACTTGAAGGGCTGTCACCTAGAGGATGGTGTGGAGTTGTTTCCTGTTGCCCCAGGAGGTTGGACCAGAACCAACGGGTTGAAATTGAATCAAGAGTTTTCGGCTAAACATTAGGAAGAACCTCCTGACATAGAGGTTCCTCAGTGGAACAGGCTTCCTCGGGGGGTGGGGGATGGGGGCTCTCCTTTGTTGGAGGTTTTCAAACAAAGGCTAGATGGCCATCTGATAGCAGTGCTGATTCCGTGAACTTAGGCAGATCACAAGAAGGGAGGGCAAGAAGCATTGCATCAGTGCTTAGTTCTTGTGGCCCTTTCTTGCACACCCAGGGAAATGCTGATTGCCACTTTGTGGTCAGTAAGCCATTTTTCTCCAGGGCAATTTGGCTGGGGATCCTGGAGGGTCCATCCTCCCTCACTGTGTGTGTGTGTGTGTGGAGATATTTGTGAATTTCCTGCATCGTGCCTAATTTGGGCTAGACGACCTTGGAGGTCCCTTCCAACTCTATGATTCTCTTATGTTAAAAAAGCTGTGTGTTCAAAATAATGGAGAGGGGTAGCTTGAGATGGGAGGGAAGGCTGTATGGTGTAGCCCTATCTCGCAGGGCCAGCACTCGGAAGGGAGACCTCCAAGGAAGACTCTGCAGAGGAAGGCACTGGAAAGCCACCTCTGCTCCTCACCTGCCTTGAAACCCCCTTGCTGGGGTCACCATACTTTGGTTGCGACTTGAGGGCACTTTACACGGAGATGTTTTGCATTTCTTATTCTCTGTAGGAGAAAGCAGCAACTAAACATTTAGCAATAGCTAATCACGTGGAATGACTGCATACATATGTTTCATTGCTAGGGTTAATAGTTACAAGAATGGGCACAGTAATGAGACAAATGAAAAATGGAAAAGAACTGTGACAATTTAGCACTTAATAATATATTCATAAATCATAATATACAACAGAAATGTAAATAGAAATAGTGAATGTAGTAGACGGTGGTCTCCGGAATGATGTGCTGTTTCGAAGATGATCTTCTTCTGAACAAGGAGGTGTACATAAACTGTCCTTCAACAATTCATATCTCTTGGTGACGTATTGACAATATACTGTAGATTCACTTCATCATAAAGCTATGCTCACAGCTATGTTCTTCAATGGGCTATGGTTGCTGAATGCTAGGGTTTCCAACTCCAGGGTGGGAAATTCATGGAGACTTGGGGGGTAGAGCATTGAAAGGTGAATTTTGGAACCATGCAGGTCCGTAGCAGGGCATAATGTCACACTGTCCGCACTCCAAAGCAGCCATTCTCCAGGGGAACCATTCTCTATCTTCCGGAGGGGCCATGGCTCAGTGGTAGAGCATCTGCTTAGCATGCAGAAGGTCCCAAGTTCAATCCCCAGCACCTCCAGTTAAAGGATCTAGCAATAGGAGATGTGAAGGACCTCTGCCTGAGACTATGGAGAGCTGTTGCCAGTCTGAGTAGACAATACTGACTTTGACAGACCAAGGGTCTGATTCAGTATAAGGCAGCTTCATATGTGTTCATGTGAAATCAGTTGTAATTCTGGGAGATCTCCAGGTCTGGCAACCATACATATACACATGATGACAGACAGACAGACATTTATTTATTGTATAGAGCCAAAGGCCATCACAAAAGGGGATTAAAAATATAATGGTAAAAAGTCAAACATAATTACAAGAATGGTTTTAAAAATTGTTAGAAGTAAAATGCAGTTGTTTACGAATATCAATATACAGTAAAATTATAAACTTTGAAAATATATCCAGTTAATCATCAGATTCATCTACTGAAGCAGTGGTCTTGGCCCTAATTCTCCTTGCAGCCAAGGCAAAAAGTGAGACTCTATAAGTAACAAATGGATCGGTATCAGATAATAAAAAGACCAATTTATCCAAGCCAGAGGCAGTTTTGTCCCTTTAACAGGTTGTCAAGAAATTTAGTTCTGACTTCTGTATATATAGGGCAAAATAGCAGATAATGAAATATGTCCTCTGGAACTGAAGCACCATATATACAGACACGTAGAGCCATCTGTATTTGAGAAAATCTTCCCTTAAGCAACAACGTCGGCATTGTCTGGAAACGTAGGGAGGTGACTGCCTTTCTAAGATTTGGGGATGGAATGTTTACCAAATAAGATGATCTGAGGTGATCTCTCTTAATTAGCTTAAACCACGGTGAAAATTTAGATTGTAAAGCTATCCAATAAGGCATCACATTTGTACACCCAGTTTCATAAGTTGGAACCGTTGTTCAAAGCCCCCAACAAGTCATCTGGGATAGAATAGCGGGCAAGTATATTATTGTAGCATACTGACCAGATACACATGATGTATTTCTTTAGCTTTCTAGTATGTGTGATTGCCACATACAGGATTTCCATTTTGGCATGCTACCGCAGACATCACTTTCTGTTTGTTTGCAATGGCCCAATAAAAGCTGAAACTTACGGTAGCAAACAAAGCATAACATCGACTGATGTGGCTGTGGGTAAAACACTTTTCTCACAGCTACTGTAGGCTCTGATGTGCATGTGAGTAAGCTGTTGTTCCAAAGAAGCAACAGATTGCACGTTGCTTAGAAATGCGAGAACCAAGGGCTAAAATTAACACGGCTCCTTTCTTCATAAGATAATTTCAGAAATTACCTGTCATCATAGATCGTACTAAGTACTATAAATCTGTTCTGTTCTCCCCATCCCACCCCCTGCTAGATCCATGAGGAAACATTTGAAGACTTTCTTCTATTTGGGGCATTTTTCGAAGCAACAATGATTGACAGAAAGGTTGGAGATAAACCGATAAGCTTTGAAGTTTCTGTTGGTAAGTGTGTATAATTCTTTTGCAGTCATGTGGTTAAACGTCTCCAAGCTGAGGTTGCTATTTTCTGGTGGTCTTTGCCAAAAATGTTCTGGGGACCCTGTTTCAAAGCTAAATTCCTTTCTCCACCATTCCCCCATGTTCATTCAGTCTTCTGGTCCAAGGTATATATATTCACTGGTGTGGAGAGAAGGATGTGGAATGTGTACTGGTGTCAGTGGAAGCTACAGTTCGTACACTGGTGACATACATTTCCAGCACACATGCATGACTACCAAGATACTAATATAAATGTGTTTTAAGAAAGTGAGGGGCTGTGGTTCAGTGACAGATCACCTACTTTGCATGCAGAAGGTCCCAGATGCAGTCGCTAACATTTCTGTTTGAGAGAACTCAGGTAGCAGGTCTTGGGAAAGCATTTCGCTTCCTAAGACCCTGGAGATCCACTGCTGCCTGACTAGACAATGCTGTACAAGGTGACCCAGTATTTTAACTTGAAAGCATCTTGACATGACATAGATCTAGAAAAGTCCTTTCCAGAATTGGTTTCGTGTGCTCTGAGCAAGGAAGTTCACTTCTGGGTGATGCTCGAACTTCCCCTAATATCTGTGGTAAAGACCACAGAGATATTGAGAATTTCCTAGAGTATCACTATGGAGGCCATTTCCCGGCCATTTTTTTCTCCTGCTCCTCAGTATCTCATGGGTGGGGGAATTGGGGTCAAGGGTAGGGGTTTACTCACCATGGTAAGTGTACCAGTTATACCACATATTACAGTGGAAATTAATGTTATCCAGCATCAAAGAGTACCAATAAATTGTGCCTAGATCAAAATTCATGATCAACTTGGAGGGTCCTGTTCAAGCAGAACCTCTGTAGGATAATAATTCCCTCAGGATAATAATTCCCTCTGTGAATGGGGGAAACATTTCAGTAACATTAGTGAAATGTGTCAGTCTTATGCCATCAAGTTTCGCCTAAAGCAAAATATGATTTGAATTTGGAGGGTCTTGCTGCAGTAATCTACAGGTATTTTGAGGACTGTTTAAAGAATTCCAGGAAAATAAGAAAAATCTGTGCAGGGAATTTTTGGATAAATGGTGGGATGTATCACTGACTTCCCACTTCCACATCTTGCTTTGGTCCACTGAACCAACTGAAATCTTGTTATTGTGGACTGGCAGACCCTCAGGGACAGCCCTGAGGGCAAAATGGGGGCCTGCAAATGTGTGTGTGGAGAATTGGCAGAAATCTCTGTCCCTCTTCCAAAGACTTGAGTGCCATTAGATCTATGGCAGTACGTGGCCAGATACATACTAATATGGGCAGAATGGTTACACAAGGTGTCAGATAAGTGCCTTTTTCTCTCACACACTATTTAGGCCATGTATGAATGTTGTTAACCCACAGCAGAACTCTGAGGAGAAATCAAATACTGATGTGTAGCCACCATAAGTTTTATATGTGTGGTGCAGCTGGTCTCTCTTCAAAGTTTTGTGAAAGCTTTCCAAAAGGATGTAGTGATGTCCATAGGCATAGACAGTTTTAGGGTTCCCAGCCTCCAGTTGGGGCCTGGAGATCTCTCACTTTTACAACTGATCTCCAGCTGACAGAGATCAGCCCCCCTGGAGAAAATGGCTGCTTGGAAGGGTGGACTCTATGGCATTGTACCATGCTGAGGCCCCTCCCCTCCCCAAACCCCGCCCTTTCCTGGATCCACCCCCAAAGTCTCCAGGTATTTTCCAACCCAGACCTGGCAACCCTAGACAGTTTTAAAAGGGGATTAGACAGATTCATGAAGGATAATAAGTCTAGCAGTGGCTGCTTGCCATGGTGGCTATGGGGAACCTCCACATTCAGAAGCACTAAGCCTCTGAATCCCAGAGCCAGGAAGCAACATCAGGGGAAGGCCTTGGCCTCTGTGCCCTGCTGTTGGCCCTCCAGAGGAACTGGTTGGCCATGGCCACTGTGGGAGATAGGATGCTGGACTAGATGGACCATTGGTCTGATCCAGCAGGGCTCTTCTTATGTTCTTAACAAATGCTTTCTGGTTTTGCTCTACTCTCTCTGTGACAGGGTGTCCCTCCAATGCAGAGTAATGAACAAATTAAAGGTATCTATTTAGTTGTTAGGGAAGCAACTCTGAGTGTTCTGCCAGCACAATGATGTAAAACATGATATATTGGCACTCGGTCAACATTAGTCTTGTCTTCCGGATGAAGAAGGCATTCTGAATGCAAACTTCGGGGGGGGGGGATCTAATGTTTCATTACAAAAGGGCACTCTTTTTCCCACCAAATAATATTGTCCTGCCCTGCCTGGAATATTTCTTCTGGTTTAGATACAAAGGAGCAGCCGTACATTAAGATTCTGTGTGTTCATGAAATTGTCTGGGTGTTCCTTTTCAAGGAACTATGTATAGAAGGAAAGGCCCCATAGACAAACAAAGGCAATGTCTAATATTTATTTAAGCACAGACTTGGGAGAGGCTGAATTCCTAAGAGCCTCATTTGTGTATTTGCAGAATAAAGAGCAAGCATTAGTGCTATATATAAGACTTCTCCTGGGTGTGGGAAGAGTTGAAATATGGATGCCAAAGGGCCATTATCTCTGCATAACAGACTCATCATGTACCATTTCCTGGATTGTTTGGACAGTGGCTCTGAGATGGGGACATCCTTCAGCATGCACATACAGGAGCCTCGTTTGGCTGTTTCAGGTGCCCAACGAAGCTCAGAGTCTTAGTTCACTTTTAAATCAGACTTCTGTCTCCACTAGAGGCGCTCCCAGTCCTACAGAACTCAACCTCTTCATAGGACTTGTTGGCAGAGAGCCACATGATTCCCGTAGGGTTGCCAGGCAGAAGAATTGGGGTCAGGAACATGGGGGGAGGCATGTGATGTCAGCTGCATCCCTATGTCACTTCTGGGGAAATCCCAGAAGTGACATAGGGTAGCTCAGGGCTAATTTTGGGCAGGAACGCACAGGAATGGAGTTCCAGCTGGCTCCCAAGTTGGTCATGCCCAGCAGGAACTCATTAGCATAATAGGCCACGCCCAACAGCAGAAACTCATTAGGATTGGCTACATTAGGGGTGTGTGGCCTAATATGCAAAGGAGTTCCTGCTACAAAAAAGCCCTGGGTTTTGACAACAAACAAGGTAAACAGAATAACAAGCAAAAGGTGGGTGTGGCTGGATGACCACACTTCTGGTAACATGTGGGTGCGGCCTAATGTGCTAATGAGCTGTGCTGTCAGGGGTGTGGCCCAATACGCTAATGAGCTCCTGCTGTTGGGTGTGGCCTATTATGCTAATGAGTTCCTGCTGGGCTTTTTCTACAAAAAGAGCCCTGGCCGGTAGCTCTAGGAATTGCCAGAAATTGTATTTTGAAACCATAGAGCAGGGGTCGCCGATCTGGTGCCATGGGTACCATGGTACTCTTCAGCTCCTTTCCTGATGTTCATCTAGTGTTTTTAGAAAGTGTGCAGGGCCAAGTAGGGCATTGGCCCAGTAGGGCTTCTGATTGGCATTTGGAGATTTGATTCGCTGTGCAGATTTTAAAAAACAATTGCTTTGACAGCAGCTCCCACCACAGCATAGGAATCGTCACTGTGTGACTGAAGGTACGCTGTGGCAGCCATTTTTCGGCTGGCTCCACCTCCTCCAGCAGCCATTTTGTGGCAGCCATTTTGTAGCTCTGCCCATCATGCTGTGTCAGAGTTCCAAAGATGCCCGCAGGCTCAAAAGGGTTGGGGACCAATACTCCCTCTAAGCTGTGGAGTCTTGTGAACAAAAATTCTACTTTGTGAGCTACTGGCATAAAAGCTGTGAGCGAGCGATTTGGCTACTGCATAAATTAGTTTGCTATGGAGCCATCCTTCCTGAGCTAAGGCAAAAATGTGTGAGCTGGAGTCTAAAAAACTGTGAGCTCGCTCACACTAACTCAGTTTAGCGGGAACACTGTTGGGGACCCCTGCCATAGAGCTTCTGGCTCTTCCTAGAGCTACTCTCTATCCCTTCCATGGTTTTTTCCCCTGCAAGCGATGTAGTCATGCAGCCAACATCAGCAGCTTTTAAATAATTTCCACCACTGATGCTTGGAGTGTTGGCAGGCAATGGAAGCTGAGGGTGGAGGATGCCCCACCCTGAATGTAGAACTGGCAAACTTAGCTTCCAGTCACTTTCTGCTCCAGCTCATACCTCACTGAGAACTCCCTGACCCTTAATCGGAATTAAGAAGGGACTGTGCTATATACCTTCCAGTAGATTTTATAGTTTCAGTTCTTGGGTTGGATCCAGCAAATCCGTTCTGTTAGGAGAGGCACTTTCCTCTGGTGGAAGGAGCTTTCTCCTAACTCATAGCACTCAGAAGAGCTTGATATAGAGAAAGGTGTCTTCTGCTGGGTAAAGAGTCTCAATTGCAGAGTGGATCTGCAAGATCCAACCCTGTTTCTTTACTAAAAGTCTTTTTAGGCAATCATTTTCTGAGTAATAAATACATAGGGTGTTTTCAGTAGTTACAGGGGATCCAGAAGTCCTTTACTAGGAAGTACTTCTGTTGCAGGAAAATCACATTTTTCCTCCATTAAAAAGACAATATTTAGTTGTTGGGAAAATGGGGTGTCAATCCCCTGACTCTATCCAAGCGACCGCTTCCATTGTGCTGGTGAGGTGACAGATGCGATGTGTATTTTGAAGTTAAAATTTCAAATGATTTCCTTGTAAATGACTTGCTCATTTGATCTCATTAGTGCTCTTCTGTAGAGCAAATTTTTATAGGGCAATAAACAAATATAGCTAATTTACTTCAATTAAGTGAGGATGGCTATGAAACAAACAGTCTGCATCCACTGGCATTTGCTTCCAGGGTGACAGTTTCGTACCGGCTGTTGTTTTTGTGTCAAAGCCAAAAGGGTGTAAGGGGAAAAGGATGTTTAGGAAGGTGGCCTGTGAAAGTGCTTTCTTCCTCCACTGATGAAAACAGATGGCATTTTTTATCTATGTTATTTAGGATGCACCTTTCTCGTTGAGACTAAAGACGAATTACACGGCGTAAGCCAGTTTGGTGTAGTGGTTAAGTACACGGACTCTAATCTGGGAGAACTGGGTTTGATTCCCTACTCCTCCACTTGCACCTGGCTGGATGACCTTGGGCAAGCCATAGTTCTGCCAGAGCTGTCCTTGAAAAAGAGCAGTTTCTGTCAGAGCTCTCTCAGCCCCATCCACCTCACAGGGTGCCTGTCTTGGGGTGAGGAAGGGAAAGGAGTTTGTAAGCCGCTCTGAGACTCCTCCGGGTAGTGAAGGGTGGGGTATAAATCTAATCTCCTCCTCCTCCTCTTCTTTTTCTTCTTCTTCTGGATCAATGGCAGGCACATTCAATAAACAATGCAACACAGATGGGAGTGCAAACATTTGAAAACAAGCAGAAATCTGAAACAGAGCTGAAACAAACTTAAGAATATAAGAGAAGCCATGTTGGATCAGGCCAGTGGCCCATCTAGTCCAACACTCTGTGTCATGCAGTGGCCAAAACCCAGGTGCCGTCAGGAGGTCCAGCAGCAGGGCCAGAAGTCCAGAAGCCCTCCCACTGTTGCCCCACCCCAAGATCCAAGAATACAGAGCATCACTGCCGCAGACATAGCTAAACCTTGTGGCTAATAGCCATGGATAGCCCCCTGCTCCATATGTTTACCCAATCCCCTCTTGAAGCTGTCTATACCTGTAGCCGCCTCCACCACTTCCTGCGGCAGGGAACTCCACATGTTAATCACTCTTTGGGTGAAGAAGTACTTCCTTTTATCTGTTCTAAGCTTGTGGCTCATTAATGTTATGGAGTACCCACAAGTTCTTGTATTGTGAGAGAGGGAGAAAAGTGCCTCTTGAAACAAAGCATAAGCATTTAAGCATGACACATTAAATGAAATTACCTAGCAGGAGCATACTTACAGAAACAGAGGGTACACAGTAGTGTAGTCTGCAGTCCCAATCGTTTTAGCAAAGCATCTTTCTGAATCATTTCCATACAGTACAGTACTGTTCAGGGCAGATTGGCTATTTAACTTACAGAGAAAGTTGTCAGTGGGCCACTGCCCTGGAGGGCTGAGAAAATACAGAGCCACGCCCCAGCAACTCCATCACCACTATGTGGGCCACTAAGCTCAGTGCTTCAACAGCAAGAAGAATTGGTGCCATCTCATCAGCTGCTCCTGCCTGCAGTGCGGTGCAGGTGGACGCAACCAGTGAGCAGACATTGAAAAATAAGCCCCACCGCAATCAGTGGGCCATGCTCCTAGGTGAGTGGGGATAGCATTGAAAATGAAGATAGGAAATAGTGTAGGTTTGGTGTAGTGGGTAAGAGTTTGAACTCGTATCTGGGAGACCCAGGTTCGAATCCCCACTCGTGCCATGGAAGCTTGCTGGGTGAACTTGGGCTAGTCACACTCTCTCAGCCTAACTTACCTCACAGGGTTGTTGTGAGGGTAAAATGGAGGAAAGGGGAATGATGCAAACCACTTTGGGGAGAAAGGTGAGGTATAAATGAACTAACTAACTAACTAAATAACAATTGCTTCAGATAACCGAAAAATAAAGCCATTGTTATCTGTGGGGGTCTTACTCGTTTTCCTTTTGTTCCATCATGTTGGGTAAAGCAGGTTTTGCATGTTTTTGTAGTTTCAGAACCCTGAGAAACCTGTTTGACCAGAGAGACAGCAGAGCAAAAAGGGTATGCTTTATGCTGTGATGGCTCTGTCAAATCTTCTCTAACTTCCTGGAAATGGTTGTAATGGAAATGCTGCCTTCTGGCCTCCAGTAGAGAGAACAGCAGCATTTCTATGACTCTATTATCTGCTAAAGGGCGTTAAGAACATAAGAACATAAGAGATGCCAATGTTGGATCAGGCCAAAGGCCCATCCAGTCCAACACTCTGTGTCACACAGTGGCCAGAAATACCAGGTGCCATCAGGAGGTCCACCAGTGGGGCCAGGACATTAGAAGCCCTCCCACTGTTGACCCCCCCCCCCAGTTGATGATCTGGTGATATTTCTTGTGCTGGCTGAAGATGCTTGCTCATACACTAACCATGTTACACTTTTCCTGGGTCTGCTCAACAGATGAGGTTAGGGTTGCAAACTCCAAGTTGGGAAATATCTGGACATTTGGGGGTGGAGCCTAGGGAGGGTGGAGTTTGGGGAGGGGAGGGATCTTAGAAGGGTATAATGCCACAGAGTCCACCCTCCAAGGCAGCCATTTTATCTACAGTAACTGTTCCCTATAGTCTGTGTAATGTATTCTTAGCTGCCATGAGTACATTAGGATGTATGGGAAACCTCCCATAGGGAAGCAATGTTAAGCTTCGTCTTGGACAGAGGATTCTCGTCCAAGACTCACGACCCAATCACATTCAAGTGCTGGAGGAAAGCTTCAAACTAGAAGAAGAAGAAGACGAAGAGATTGGATTTATACCCCGCCCTTCACTACCCAAAGGTGTCTCAGAGAGGCTTACAAACTCCTTTCCCTTCCCCTCCCCACAACAGACACCCTGTGAGGTAGGTGGGGCTGAGAGAGCTCTGAAAGAAATGGATATTTTTCAAGAACAGCTCTTATCAGCACTACGGCTTGCCCAAGGTCATCCAGCCAGGTGCAATGGGGAATCAAACCAGTTTAGAGTCCACGCACTTAACCACTGCACCAAACTGGCTCTCAACTATCCGCCTTGGTGGCCTTGATTGGACAGAAAAGCAGGATACACATTTTGTGAATAAAGAAATAAACTTTGCTGACCAGAGTGACAGGAGACATGTCATTGTCTGCCTGCAGACACCACTGAAAGACCATGAATTTCTAATGCTCTCTCGTCACAAGAATATCTGGCCCTGGAGCAGCTGCTCCTGGAATTATCTTCTGCTGCCTAGGGAGGTGGGGATGGAGTTGTGTGCAAAATGCTATTGTCTTTCTCCATCTGCTGACATTTATATTATGGTAATGTTCAGTCCAAATGGCTAGGTGAAGCCCTCATATGAAGCTGAAGATCTATTTGAATCAGTCCTGAAAAATTAGGCAAGATGCGGCCTCAGAGACAGGATTCAATGAAGCAGACACTTTCAAAAGTTCAGACCTTTAAAACTGCTTCATACTGTCTCTTTTAAGCAGGATAGGCCTAATTAGAACCCCCCTTTTGTCCATTGCCTTACTTCACAACACTGTCTCGTTCGATTTCTCCTTTCCCAGAGGATGTAGTGATGGCCGCAGGAATAAACAGCTTTAAAGGGGGATTAGACAGATTCATGGAGATTAGACAGATTCATCAATGGCTTCTAGTCATGGTGACTGAGGGAATCCCCCATGTTCAGAGGCACTAAACCTCTGAATCCCAGAGCCAGGAGGCAACCTCAGGGGAAGGCCTTGGTCTCTGTGTCCTGTTGTTGGCCTTTCAAAGAACCTGGTTGTCCCCTATGTATCCTGAATTAGATGGACCTATTGGTCTGATCCAGCAGGGGTCTGTTCTTACAAGCCTGGTTTTTGTACACCCAGGGAATTTTGGCAACGTGATTGATGGCGTGTCACCAGGAGCTGGAAGCAAGAAGAAGGCCCACGAAGGAGAAGAGGAAGAAAGTGCCCCATTACTACATGAAGGTTCGGGAGAAACTGCACATGACATTGCAATGCCACTGGTATCTACCACGCACCCTGAGAAACCACTGGTCACTGAAGGAAACAGGTGAAGTTTCTGAAGTTTATACTCTTTCTTCAACCTCTGGCCTTTGTTCTGCATCTCTAGAACCAGGATTCTGTGTATGATAGACAGGTGTATCATAGGCAGGTGCCCCTAAGATGGTGTGACCACTTCATAGGGGTGGTGTCAGTGTTTTCTTGCTCCCATTCAACTCATTTTTTGCCTGTATCAGGGGGTCCCCAGCGTTTTCCAGCTTATGGACATCTTTGGAATTCCGTCCCAGGAGGAGGAGCCAGATGTAAAATGGCTGCCACGGTGAAGATCCTTGTGTTGTGGTGGCAGCTGCTGCCAAAGCAACAGCCTATCAGAATTCCAGTGGCCAATCAGAGCCCTTGCTGGGCAAAAGCCCCACCTAGCCCAGCCACTTTCTAAAAATACTTGGCAGGAACAAGGAAAGATGTGGGCAGGCACCATGGCACCCATTGGCACCATGTTGGGGACTCCTGGCCTATATCTTGATGGGATGGGGGGGTGAGTGCATCCATCTACCATCCATAGCATAAGGCATAGACTCATGGTCCAACAAAGTTAGGAGCATTAGCCCCATCGGAATGAGTAGGATTAGTATGAATACTGATAGCCCAAGACCCAAAGAGGCAGGATGCTGGAGGTTCTGTGAACAGAGCACCCACTGTTAATTTTTCTCTAAAAAAATCAGCTGAGCAGGAACTAGATTTTGATCAGGATCATAATGCAACAGGAGAGAGGTTTTCAGGCTCTCCCCCATGCTAGTTTTCCTTGAAGGGGAACCATAAAAGTACTGATAAGGGTACCTTTATGTTTGTCCAATGAGGAAGGAGCCATGGCTCAGTGACAGGATCTGCTTTGCATGCAGAAGGTCCCACGTTCTATACTTGGCTTCTCCAGTTGAAAGGACCAAGTAGAAGGTGGCGGTGAAAGACTTCTGCCTGGTACCTTGGAGAGCTACTGACAGCCAGTGTAGTGGACCATTCGTTCCCTCCCAACCTTTTCAGTATGGTGATCCACAAGTCCATATTTACTAGGTATGGACACCCACCCAAGGCTGGTCCAAGGTTTTTTTTTTTAAGCACCCTAGGCAAACTTGACCTTGGCACTCATCTAGTCCAGCATTCCATTTTCTACAGTTTCCTTCTTCTGGCTTCTGCTGTACATTGACTAGTTGATGGATGGCTTTTTCCACACATGATTGTTGCAAAGGGTAGGGGAGGTGAGAATGTGAGAATCTGGCAAGGAGGAAGAGGAGAGAAAGAGAGCAACGGAAAGGGAAGGGGCTGGCCTGCAACCCACTTTCAGAGGCTTCACGACCCACTTTTGGGTCCTGACTCACAGGTTAGGAAAACTCTGCAGTAGGCAATGCTGACCTTGATAAACCATAAAAACATAAGAGACGCCAATGTTGGATCAGGCCAAAGGCCCATCCAGTCCAACACTCTGTATCACACAGTGGCCAGAAATACCAGGGGCCATCAGGAGGTCCACCAGTGGAGCCAAGACATTAGAAGCCCTCCCACTGTTGACCCCCCCCCAAGCACCAAGAAGACAGAGCATCAATTGCCCCAGAGCCCCTATCTATACCTTGTGGCTAATAGCCACTGATGGACCTCTGCTCCATATGCTTATCTAATTCCCTTTTGAAGCCGTCCATGCTTGTAGCCACCACCACAACCCCCCCCCAAGCACCAAGAAGACAGAGCATCAATTGCCCCAGAGCCCCTATCTATACCTTGTGGCTAATAGCCACTGATGGACCTCTGCTCCATATGCTTATCTAATTCCCTTTTGAAGCCGTCCATGCTTGTAGCCGCCACCACTTCCTGTGGCAGTGAATTCCATGTGTTAATCACTCTTTGGGTGAAGAAGTACTTCCTTTTATCCGTTCTAACCCGACCCCTCAGCAATTTCATGGGAGTGCCCACGAGTTCTTGTATTGTGAGAAAGGGATAAAAGTACTTCTTTCTCTACCTGCTCTATCCCATGCATAATCTTATAAACCTCGATCATGTCTCC